AACAGATAAAGATGAATCAAGCAATATTTTCAAATAACTATTTTTAATTAATGGTTAAAAATACCTTCTGCTCTAAATAAGAAATAAAATTTTTAAACATGTTTTATTACTTAAAAAAATATATCTATTGCCATTCCAAAGTCTGATTCTAAATTCACTTTGTTGTGATCCTTGACTGAGCTGGAAAAGATACCTACAGAAGATAGACAAACAATAGAAGATGGAGAGAAAGAAAAAAAAAATCATTGTGCCTCCTTATTCATAATGAATTAAATTTCATTTCCAGCTATCAACTATGCAAAAGTTTTTGTCTAAACTTAGCTAATAAATTTCAATCTTCTTTGATTTCAATTAGTTGGGAAGGTGTAAAGATACATCCAGATTTCCAATAAACAGGTTCAAACCCCCCTGTAACTCTTCCTTTGGATACTTTTTAACCAGACTAGAATATTTTGTTTCCAAGTTTAAGTGTGCAGGTAAGAGAGTGTCTAGGTAGCACAGCTACATGAGTTTCGGTAATAAAATCACTAAAATCACGTACCAAAGGATAGGTCAAATTTTATTTGTATCAAGATGCAGGAAGTCAGTGAATGAAGGCACTATTGCTACCCCCTCTGAGCTGAGCAACTCACAGTAACTTCAGGACTGCTTGGGTGACAGTGACCCCCTGATGCTGACAAGGGGAGAACACCAGTAGTAATTCATACATCAAATATTAGCAAAATGAACTCAGAGGTTTCCTGTTTTCTTCCTGCAACTCCTGGTTGCACGCACCTGGCTTTAGGAGCAGTAGAAAGCCGTGGGGGAATTTTAATTAAAGGAGAAGCATTACCAGGTCTGTGATTTACAAGCATAGGTAACTAGTAAGAGACTGTCTAGAAAGGAGAGACCAGAGGCAAAAAAAGACGGCAGGAGGCTGGGGTCCAAGCTGGAGCTGCAGGAGGAAAGGGGGGAAGAATGGATTTGCGAGACATTTTGGAGACACGCTTCACAGAAGTTTGGATGTGGGAGGATGGGGAAAAAGTCTAGAGGTGGCATGGAAGCGGATTATGCCCTTCCCTGTGCATGGAAGGAAGAGGGCAGGAATAAACATTACGCCTTCGGTTTCGGATGATCTGAACTTCCACCCATGTGTGGTATGAAGGTGATATTCCACAGTGTTAGAAGTAAAGATCTGAGCAAGCTGAAGCAAAGTCCGTTCCTTCCAAGTCTTATTTTTCAGCTCTCCACGCCTAGGTCCTTTGCCTTTTTTGGAAAGTCATCGATTTCTTTGAGACTTTGAAGAAAGCCACTGGCCCCACTTCAGAAAGAAAATGTACACATCCCAATATAAAATTGTACATATGCTTTATAGGGTCCCCAACCCTGAGGTCCATCCACCACTCCAGATTGGAGATGTGCCCTAAGTGGCTCTCTTGCTGCCCACCAAACCTGCCCTATTTCGTGTGCCATTTCTCTGAGTCAGAGATAGTTTGCTAATTATAAGTCACTTCCTATTTTAGAAATCCTGATGACTTATGGTCAAATGCTTATGTTCATCGTGCTGATTGAAGGACTGTAATTTTTAATGTTGGGTGAGAGACGGAGGAAGAATGGAGAAAAAGAGGTCAATTCAAGGCTTTGTGATTTCTCTGGGTAAGCATTCATACAGCTCAGATAGGTTGGGGTATCATAGGACACACACAGCGTCACCTGTGAATGATTCTTGCCTGATTGAACCTGAATCTAATAAGAAGTCTAGAAAGACAAGTGAAATGACACCAGAAGAAAGCAATCTGCCAAATCCAGAATGTGAGCTATTCTACAGAACAAATGACCTAATCGCCTTAAAAAATAGCATGAAAATTTAAAAAGGGAGTGTCATGGACTAAAAGAGCCTTAAGAAATGTTAGCAATCAAAAGCAATAGCGGGCTTCCCTGGTGGCACAGTGGTTGAGAGTCCGCCTGCCGATGCAGGGGATACGGGTTCGTGCCCCGGTCCGGGAAGATCCCACATGCCGCGGAGCGGCTGGGCCCGTGAGCCATGGCCGCTGAGCCTGTGCGCCTCAACGGGAGAGGCCACAGCAGTGAGAGGCCCGCGTACCAAAAAAAAAAAAAAAAAAAAAAAAAAAAAAAAAAAAAAAAAAAAAAAAAAAAAAAAAAAAAAAAAAAAAAAAAAAAAAAAAAAAAAAAAAAGAAGAAGCAATAGGACTCTGTATAGTGGAAAATGTGAGAAATTAGAATACAAACTTAAGAATTGGATGGTATTAAAAATAATTTAGCTGGGTGTAATAATGGTGGTTATAGAAAAAGAACCTATTCTTAACAATTAGAGATGCACACTGATGTATTTGTGTGAGGACACAATATCTGAAATTTGCTTTAAAATAATCCAGAAAAAAAAAAAAGAGGTGACAGATGAAACAAATTTGGCAAGATGTTTCTAACTGTTGAAACTGGATGATGGATATATGGGGGTTCATGATACTCTTATCTGTTTTCTTGTATGTTACAATTTTCCACAGTAAGTTTAGAAATATTATAAATATTTCTTTAAATGCATGGTTCTAAAATCTGGCTGATGATCAGAATCTCCTGGGCAGCTTTAAAAAATAAAAAAGAGAGAGATTCCAGGAGCTGCACAGTCCTTCGGCATCAATCTTCTATAGGTACACTTGTATTGGGTGGAAGAATGGGCCGTTTATAATTTCCCAGGACTCTGGTGCCGCCGGTCCTCATGGCCATCACAGTCATAGGTCGCCTCTTCTAAGATCTGACCCAGAGGTCTTATACTCCTTCCTCCCCTCTGATTTCTTTCCTTCCTGTCTCTCTCTGCTCCACCCGCTTGTCTTTTCTCTCTGTACTTAAGGCTGAGGGCAGGAAACTTCAGAGGAGCACAGGTAACAGGCACTGGCACGTCTTTCCTACTTCCCTCTGGGCCTCCATGTCTTCCCTGTTAAACCAGATGCCTTACCCTTAACAGTAAGTTCTCTTAATACCTATGGGTGAGAGATGTACCCCCTGCCCGGGTGTTCCTTGAAATAAAGTTGTTTGGGAAGTGTGGTCTTAATATTGGGGCCTTTTTCTTTCATCATTCGTAAATAGAAAACATCAACCTTTGTTCTTAAATAATTTACTTTTTAATCTTGACTTCTGTGAAAAGTTACATTTAAATTTAGGAAAACTTGAAGAAAGCCAATAGAGAGTCAACAGTTTTCTATTAGAGACAACTAAATGTGCAAATTTCAAATGTTTTCTATAATAAGTATAAATAATCCCATTTATTCACATTAAGAATGAAAATATTGATACACAAAATATTAAAATAGCAACTTTAAAAGAACTAAATGAAAACACTGAAGTTTATGTGAAATCTTTAGAAAGACATTATAAAGAGATCTGTCAAGGAAAAAGGCTTATGGTATCTCAAGGGGAAAACACATCACGTAGGACAAGTAAAGACTATGGAGAGTTAGTTATAGATTTTGTCAAAATTTTCAGGTTCTAAGTCCAGACCACCCCCCCCACCGCCAAAAAAAAAAATAGCAGCCTTTACCTCTGGGGACAATGTGTTTCCCTTTCTTCTTTTTCTAGAACAAGCATGAGAGTAACACAAAACACACAGAGAAACTGCAGGCCAAGGACAGAAAGAAATTTCCTCGTACTCATGGTTACAAGGTTGTGCTGTCCCAATGCTAAGGTGGCCACGAGGTCACTGCCCTGCACCCCAGCAAACAGCATTAACACAGCAAACAAAACCATCACCAAAGGCTCCATATTTCCCCGTGACCTTCTCCAATCTCATCCCTGCTCCTTCCCAATCATCTCTCTAAGGAGGTAGGATACGCAGAAGCATCTACACACTGTGGAGAACGGTTTCTCATCGGAGGGCTGGGAAGTGGCTCTGGCCAAAGTTTCACGAGGAAGCGTGAGAGTTTAATGAATTTATTTTCGATGTGACTCCTTCGTTCCAAAATGTGTGGAAAAGTTCGACTCCCCTACTGCGGTCAGGAGTTTGCTGTGTCTATAACATGACCGAAAGCCAGTATGTTATCTCAAGCAGACAGTATAGCAATTTCTGCAGACTGGAAGAAACAGCTTCACTTAAATAACCTTAAAGTTTGTGATAAAATAAATAAAGTGATTACACAGACACAAGAGTCTGCTGGTGGAGTTCAGGCGGGCTGTGTCTATGAGTTGTGCTTGCCCCTACAACAACCAGAAAATAGGTTATTATCATCAGTCAGTCTTCTTAAACTTCTAGGGCAGCAGCGCAACGTAACAAACAAACAAAATTCCCTCATATGTAACATAAGGGGCCATTATATGTGTAACCAGGTGTATGCTCACCTCAGTTCAAGTTAAACTTTAGAAGTAAAGACAGTGATAACCAAAAGAGTTACACATCTGCCCACTGAGAATATTCTGGGTCTTACAAGGTGCATATCGTAAAGAGCAGCTGGTGTGCTTTTCACCGTGGACTTGTTCAGTCTCAGCAGCCTCAGCATCACAGTCTGTGGACGGTTCTGCCATGTCCGTGGGAAAGGAACGAAGCAGGTAGGGCGAAACCGTGAACAACCGGCACTCTGAGCCTGCCCGTTATCCCTGAGCTTCCCGAGCTTCCGGCACAGGGCCGTGGGCCTCAGCTCCCCATCTCCGAGAAATGCTGATAGAGGGCAGGGGGACTGGCTCCGAGTTTCCCAGCCCGCCTGACCTGCGTCTTTCCCCTTTTCTCTAAAGATGAGGCAGCAGTCCTGGCACGCGTTCTGAGTCCATGAGGTTCCTGGCCGCCTGCTTGGAAGGAGAGGCGTGGGCTGAAGTCCACACCACCCGCGGCCAGTCACACGCTTTGCTCAGATTCCAGGCCGGTGACCGAGAGCTTCTTTCTTGCCCTGCTCAGAGACACCCTGGCCCGCTGTGCAGGGCCGGACCCTTGGGTGGCACTGGGGCGCTGGGAGCATAGCACCACGTGGGCTAAGGCTCCAGGCCCCTCCGGGCCGGGGCTGGCCCCCTGGGTCAGGTTAGCCATACATCTGCTTGAACTGAAAGCACTCGTTGCAGTAGCCGTTGCACTTGGCATTGCCGAAGTGCTCACAGGCGGGGGCCCGGCAGCGCTGCGTGGGGGGCTCCTCAGGGACGGGTTCGGGCCGCCGGGTGCTGGCGGCCATGCGCTGGCCGAGGTGTTGGCACTCCATGCACAGCTCCTGGTTGCAGCAGGCCAGCACGTTCCTGCAGGTGGCCCGCGTGCACTTGGACCAGGAGGGGCTCTGGGTGGCTCGGGGCAAGTCTCTGTGCTGGCTCGCCCTCTGGGTGGAGAGAGCAGAGAGAACCACTGTCACATTCATTGTTCAGGGACCACACGGTGCCATCTCATCCGACGGTGTGGGTTCTACAAAGGGCACCTGCCTGACCAAGCGGACAGGGGCCGGTCTATGGACGGGAGCCTCCAAGGACCTTTCTTCCTCAACCCATGAAAACAGACCTGGCCCCAGGGAGGCCCGGTGGAACCACCAACCCTAACACAGAGGCCGGCAAAGGCTGGCCTGGCTCGCTTCCGTCTGGATTAATACTAAGGTGCCCTCATTTACACAGATTCCCTACCACCCTCCAACCAGTAGGAGAGGCATCTATCCATGAATGTTTGCTTTTCTTATATGCCAGTAAGTGGAGGCACCTGGGATGTTCTGCCTTTTCCTTCTGTCCCATCATAAGGGAATTTTACTTAAGAAAGCCTGCACTTCTGCTACAAATCCAAGAAGTCTCTGATTGCCATTTGGCTTTTCGGAGGCTTTAACGGCTGGTTTTATTTGCTTCTTAAAATGAACCTAAAGTAAACTTAGGCCATGAAAATCAATAGGAACTGCTGCGCTTCCAGCCCTGGGGGCCAGGCTGACTTTTCCCCTGGTTTTTCCCTGTAACTCAGCAGGGAGGAAAGCCTGCTTATCACTCCGGCAAGGAGGCCGGGCCCACAGGAGAGGGAGAGGGGGAAGTCCCTCAAGATGTCTCACCAGCTGCTCTTCAGTCCTTTTCGCTTCATGGAATCTCTGGTTCTGAGCTTCGATGAAACACTTCTGACAGTATCCTTCAAACACACTGCTTCCGAGGGCACCGCATTCCCTGCCCAGGCAGGGGACAGTGTTCTGGAACCTGGAGGCCATGGGGCTGGCTTTCCCTGAGGCAGGGACAAAATCTACAAGAGAGAAGAGGCTCATCAGTAACACGTATGGTTCACCAAGTGGACAGATGCTGACATCAGAGAAACAGACAGGTTCCTAACACAGATTAGGAACCAGCTGCGCTCTACCTACGAGAGCAACCTTTCAGAAACCTAGCAAAATAACCAACAGAAATAATACTATAATAAAAACATCTTTGCCTTTACAGATCTCTCCCTTTGGAACAGGCCACACTGGTCAGTCACAGTAACAGAACAAGCAGAGACATTAAGTGCCCATCCTTCTTTCAAATTTGAGATTTCAAAAACCACAAATGGACTCTTACGACGTCAGTGAAGGCCGCTCTCTTTCCAGCTACCACTCATCAGGTTTTGAATTTTCTCTAGTGTGCCAGAGTTTCAAAAGAAGTCTCGTCTAAATTCTACCTTACAAATACTACACCACATGACCTTATAAAAACAAATTCTCTGAACTCTACCCACAGAGCTCTTGTGGGTTTTGGAACATGCTATTTATTCTGTGCTTTTGCTTCCAGGTGTGCCGGCAGAGCCACTGTGACTGTCTCCCCCACGCAAGGCACACTCAACGCCCCAGCCCTTTCTTGAAGGGGCTCCCTTCTTGAATTTCAGGGGCAAATTGCCTTCTACGTGGGGTTTTGAAACAGGGGTAAAACCCATCCTCTCACTCACGTTTATTTTCTCTGTACTCGATGAAACACAGCGTGCAAAAGCCTTTGTTCTCTGGAGTCCCAAAGTACATGCAGCCCGCTTTCCTGCACTTGCTTGTCCCCGTCCTGTCCCCTGGAGTCCGTGCGGCCGGGGAGCGGTGGCCAGAGGGAGCCTCGGGCCCAGCTCCGCGGCAGGCGTGCGGGGAGAGGCTCTGTGCGAGCTGTGAGGGGTCAGACTTGGAGCGCTGGTGGCAAGAGAGGGGGCTGCTCGAGCTGAGGTTCGGGGTGGGTTCGGCTGTAGTCCTTTTAAAGCAAGCACTGCAGATCCCATTAAATGTCCTGGTGACGTCCTGTTGGCAGGCTTGGCACTTGCCGGGGTTGAGATGCTGCGCAGGGTCCGAGGGGTTGCCCGCGGGAAGCTGCCGGGCGTTGTGGCATCGCTCGCAGAAGCCATTGTGCTGCACGTTGAGGGTGAAAGGGCAGCCAGGGCTCCTACACTTCATGGCCGTGGTCTCGCTGAACAGGAAGAGGCTGGGTGCTGTCGGAGGGGCTGAGTGGGGACCCCCGGTGGGCTCCTCGGGGCTCCAGGCCTCCCCCCGGGAGGCCCCGAGCACCAGGCGGGGCAGCACCTCAGGGCCTGGCTTCGAGCTGGGCTTTGGGGCTTTGGTTTGTTTCTTTTGCCGCCTCTCCGAGCACTCGTGGCACAAAGGCTGGGTGTTCACGGACATGAAGAAAGGGCAGTTGGGCGTTTCGCATTTGATGTCCATGAGAGAAAGCTGGGGGACAGAAGGTTCCAAAGGATTCTGGGGGTGCATGTCTCTCCGCCCCCGCTCATTGTTTTCCTGCCACTTCTTGTACTCGTGCTGAACAAGTTCAAAGTAATCATCTACCAGGTTTATTTCTTTGGGTAAGTTAGCTTCATCCAGCCTAAAGACCAAAAGGAAAAACATGAGACCACACACACCAAACACACACACACACACACACACACACACACACACACACACACACACACTTTACACCACTAGATCACAGAGCAAAGTTTTAAAATGTAGACTGTGGTAATAACTTCATAACCATTCACTGAAATGCAGCCTATGATGAAGACTTTGCGCCTCTAACATAACACAGTCCAATACTGTTGAGAAGACGTCATTATTTCGAGAATCAGTCTTATTTAATTAATTTTGGTCCAGCCCAAATTATAGATAATTCTAAAGAAAGGGTTACTCAGGGGCTGCTTTTACACTTAATTACCCTCTTCCTCTTTGAAAAAGTCACTTTTACTTACTTTCTAACTTCTCAGAGACCAAATTTCTAGTGAAATGTTATTCAGGGTATTCATTTGGGATGAGCTTACTTTATAGTACAAACTACCTGGTAATGTGTTCTGTATTTTTCTTTATTAATTTACTTTATTAATTTTAAACGTGCACCTGGTCTCTATTAGCGGTAACTGCCACGAGCAGTAACTAAGAGGCAGACACACCATCAGGCGTTACATACTGACTTCTGACTCTGTAATTTGTTCATCTCCACTTTGAGAAACCGATTCTCTTAGGCCTTCTCGGCCTTGTGCATTTCAAGTTCTAGGAAATGGGCATCTCTTTATCATCAAGCCAGTGTTTACAATTTTGATACCTGTACAACCTGCACTCTGGGTCTCTCCTCCCCACCCCATGCAGCCAAGTCACGTGCCTGCCACATAAACACACTCTACAGCCCAGTCTGCGTCTGGTGTGTCTGCCTTACCCAGAAGCCAGGAGAATGAGGGTTTTGTCTCTAAGAATTTTCGCTTGCTAGTCTAGCACTAGGGCAATTAAAAAAAAAAAAAAAAACCCATCCTCGATGTGAACGCACTTTTTAAAGCCACGGGGTTGACACTCAGCATCCAGATATGCAGAAAAATCATTTTGGATAAATTACTTGTTCCCATTTGAAACTCAAGTTAGTGCTACCTGAAGTGATTGTCTCTGACTCACACACAAGCCCCTAAACTTGTTTCACGCTGGAGGAAACCAGCTTCAAATAACTTTACTGCTGGTCTTTGGGGTAGCAGCAGCTTAAAGATGACAAAGCACAGAGCGAAAAACAAACTGCTTACTTTGCAGCGTTAATTAAATGGGTGGTGCCATGGTCCCAGCCTTGAACAGGGATTTCTATCACCATCAAGTACTCTTTCAGGAGCTTTTCCTTCATCTCATTTTCAGGATCTGTCAAAAAGTGAACTTTTAAGTCTTCGAATCTTCCTCTCTCTCTGTTAACAAGTGGAACAGCTCGGATTTCTGAGGGAAAAAATAACACATCAGCAAAATATGATTCTACTAAATGAGATTATGTGTGAGGCCATATATATAACAACTACATTTTGAAAATGCAGAAAGGATACAATTACAGAGTGGAAAAGTATTATCTAGCCACAAAATCAAATGGGGAAACAAACTGTACTAAACTCTAATAAAAAAAACACGGTTGGGGGCTTCCCTGGTGGCACGGTGGTTGAGAGTCCGCCTGCCGATGCAGGGGACGCGGGTTCGTGCCCCGGTCCGGGAAGATCCCTCATGCCGTGGAGCGGCTGGGCCCGTGAGCCATGGCCGCTGAGCCTGCGCATCCGGAGCCTGTGCTCCGTGACGGGAGAGGCCACAACAGTGAGAGGCCCGCATACTGCAAAAAAAAAAAAACAAAAAAAACACACGGTTGGGACTTCCCTGGTGGTGTGGTGGATGAAAATCTGCCTGCCAATGCAGGGGACATGGGTTCGAGCCCTGGTCCGGGAAGATCCCACATGCCGTGGAGCAACTAAGCCCGTGTGCCACAACTACTGAGCTTGCGCTCTAGAGCCTGGGAGCCACAACTACTGAGCCCATGCACCTAGAGCCCGTGCTCCGCAACAAGAGAAGCCACCGCAATGAGAAGCCCGCACACCGCAAAGACCCAATGCGGCCAAAAATAAATAAAATAAAAAAAAACAAAAAAAACAAAAAAAACCCCACACAGTCTCCAGGACGCCCACAGCATATTAAGCAGCCTGGAGGCAGTAGGTCTTATTGGTCAAATCCCACACTTAGAACCAGACAGACCTGGGTTTGAGTCCTGACTTTGCTACCATCCATCTCTGTGACATCAGGTAAGTTATTTAACTTCTCTGAGCTTCAAGTGCCTCATCTGTACTCTAAGGTTATCGCATCCACAGGGATGCCATGAAGAGGAAATGAAATAAAATAATGTACCTAAGCATTTGTAAAGTGCCTTATTAGTTCCTCATTAAGCTATTACAATAATAGCTAACCTGCCAGACATTTACCTGCCCCATGCCAGGCACTGTATTACGGGCTAATTAAGAAATGGTAGCAGTAATATACATTATCTCCTACTTGCCACTAACATGCTGAAAGTACTTTCCAAACTATAGACAAAAAGTTGGGGGCGCATTACGATGACTGCTATTGCATTACTGTTGCTAAACAACTGACAGAACACTGTATTTAAATAAAACTAATATACTTAAATGAGACTTTCAATAAGGAGCAAAAGAGCAAACCCTGATGTTCAGGAGGAACGGGGTGTACCAGTATCTACCAGCAAGTACAAACGTGAATAGATGCTCAGTTTTCTCACCAGGTCCACTGTCCTTCATGGTCACTAGGGGTACAAAGTGTTGGCTGTTGTAGCCGAGAATGATGGGGTATCTGTAGCATTCCTGGGCAGGCCAATGGAGAGGCAAGTAAATTCCGCCCACCTTCAAAGGAGCGAAATTGGAACCTGATTCCAAACTTCTCAGCATTTTGTCTGTTTAAGGAAAGAGAAAGAAAAGATAAGGCCCTCCGTGGCTTTCATCAGATTCCATTTAACTATGGTCTCCTGTAACTTTGGTAGCATATGGGTTTTCCTAAGAGGTAAAGCACTAAAGCTGAAAAGCACTTAAATACAGATAAGCCCTCAGCAGGCATCTCACCTGAAATGACAATGATCGGCCTTCTGAGGATGTTGCAAAGGACAAATATGTGTATTTCTTCCAGTGAATTATACTGAAGTCCACTGCAGGCCACTGGTATGTCCGTGGATGCCATTTTGACAAGGCTGTCCCATTCATCAGTCCAATTCTAAGGGGAGAGAAAAGAAATCATTGAATGTACTCTGCACTAAAAAACAATTCTGGCTTCACTCTATAATTTAGCACTTGTATCACTCAGCTTACTTTTACCCTTTCTTGAAATTACCATTCAAATGATCACCCTTTTGTCCCCACTTTGGTTTTCTTCCCTTACTTTTTTCCACGGCAAGGCAAACTCAAAAGTAGGGGAGGATGGGGACAGCACCTGCTTTCAAAAAAATCCCTGATGAGGCATAAAGTCAACGCTCCTCATCCCAATGTGCACAAAAATCCCAAACTTGTGACTGAAAATGGGGGAGGCACCCATCTGAATTTGATTGGCTGGCTCAGTAAAGCATGAGAAGGGCAATCAAACTGAAAAACAACTAAAACGCCACAGGGAAGCCCGAGATCAGAAAGATCATTCTAAAATGACTCCCCAGCTGGGAAGCTGCTGCCCTGGAGCCTCCCAGCAGTGACAAGAGCCTCAGGTCCATCCCACAGGAGGTTTCTGGTGTTTTCCATTGACTCTGCTTTGCCAAGTTCATGTGACCCGGCAAATCACATGCTCCTTGAGAGCAGGGACTGGCCGAAGGTACTGTTTTGCCACCATGGAGCTCTGTCAATAGATGCTGGATGAGGAAACACAACATACCCGGGTATCGTAGCAAAGCCCCGTTTCCACGAATTCTTGAGACTTAAGAGACTCCAGCTGCCAGCGGAATTTAAAGTTGCGGGTGTCCGTCTCCTTGAGGGTGCTGAAGAGCACCTTCCTCAGGACCAAGTCTGTGTCCTGAACACCCCACATGTACTGGGAAGCAGCATGCATGAGGCAGTTTCCGTCACCTGCGGACAGAAGGGAAGCCAATTCAAGCAATCTACATCTAAGGCCTAGCAGGGGTTTACAGAATAAACTAGCCTTACGGCTACCATGCGGGGACCCAATAGCGCTTGTGAGAAACGCCAGTGGTTTAATGTCTCAGTCGAAGGGCCAACTGGTAACATTTCACAAGGTGATGACAGCTTTAAGGAAAAAAAAAATATATCATTCTTTTAACTCTTATTTCTAATGAATGATATTAACAGAGCCAAGGAACCAGGGAGTGAGAGTCAGGAGCCCTTGGTTCCAGCCTGGCTCTGCCCTAACTAGTTTAGGTGACCTTGGGGGGAAATTCCTTAACCTCTGAGTGTTTTTCCTCTTTAGAAATGAGGACATTGGATTATGATCTCTGAAGTCCATTCCTTTCTAACATGCCTTGATTTTCTGGCTAAGACGCTGGCACTATTGCTCTCTGACTCTGAGAGAGAACCCCCAGGGTAACATGCTCAAACCAGGAAGCTGGTCTGGCTCCATTTACTAGACAGGGATGGCCTGGCCATGACTCAGCGGTACATGACTTGACCATCCCACCACAGCCTTTGGGGCCTGGGAGCTTCCTCTCCTGGTCTGTAAAGTGGGATTGAGAAGACTGAATTACCTACTACCTGCCCACCCCACCCCCAGAAATGCCTTGTGTGAACCCGCCTGTTAGCAATTAGAGTCCCTTTGCAGAGTTAAAGAGGGCCTCGATGTCTACATTTGAAAATAATTCAGTGTTTAGGGCTGGCACTTGAAGAATTTTGAGGCTTTTGAGAAAAAGATAGGTCTAATTTTATTCTGTCACTTTGTTACTTTTATAGGTTAAAATCCACAATTCATGAGACGGCATTGCTTTTTGAACTCCAAAGAATAAACATTTTGGAGGTCTGTTTAATATTAAAAAAGTTAACTCCTTGGTCTCTTTTGGGAAGTGCATAATTGTTTTTACAAAGAAAAGTTCTATCGTGTTCTTACATTGTTCTATGGGGCAATAAAGCTATTTGAAATTTTATCAAATCTTAATTATAGTCAACTGTAAACAACAACAACAACAAACCCTCAAAAATGTATCTGCAGCCAGTATCCATTCAATTTACACACTTAGAAAAACTAGCTAAATAAACATTCAAACAAATGAACCAAAAAGATCGTTCAAGGCTTGTGTCTTGGCAGAAATGTAGCAACAACTGCATTCTGTTGAAATTTCCCCTTTGCAAAATCTAGAGCAAAGATAAGGCTTTTTTTCTTCTTGTGCTTACTTTCAGTTCTTTATTGAGATGCACCAGCATAAAATTCCCTAAGTAACATCTGGAATTCCCCAGCGCTAAGTTATTTGACTAGCAATTGAGCAACAGCTATTGTACTTTTTGTTCTGGTGTGTAGACATTTAAAGTGCGAAGTGCACCCTGGACTTTCCAAGTGGGTGTGGTCAGGGTGAGCTGGAATAGGGCTACTCATTATACAAGTGAAATCGCTGCAGCCAATAGACGTTGGAATTTTTCACATGAAGTTTCAATTTTATGCCACCTACTCCCTTCCTCATTCACCACAGTCTCATATCCTCAAATGCAAACTTGTGAATCACCCCCTCCCCAAACAGACCATTGACTTTGTAGAGCCCTCCTATAGGGGGAAGGCTTTAAAAAAAAGTGCTAATAAAAATCAGAGAGGAAAAGTCATTTGTTTCCTTCCTTCCCCTAAATATCTTTTCTTCCTTTTCCAGAATTTTAAGGAATTTTTTTTGCAAGTGGTGAAATAAAAGGATTCTGAGCCTAAAAATCCTTACTTCTCAGAAAATGATATCAGAATGCACTTGTTTTTGTAGTTTTGTTTGTAGCGTGAATCCTTGATTTAAATGCCCTATCTTTGCAAAACAAGTATTTACTTTTTACATTCCATTTTTTCTCTTAAGGAACCAGAGCAAGTTAACCCTAAAATCTCAGTTCAGTTCATGATAATACGGTTTTTCTCTTTCCACCACATTTCTAATTTGGCAGAATCTCTTCTTTCCAACTTTCCCACATCTTTTTGTAACCACATGGGAGAGAGTTAAAACCACAAACTGTCAGGAACATAAACCCCTTGATGATGACTTCACATAATTACCTACTTCTAAGCATCACTTGACTTAATGCCATGAACAACATATATACTACATAGCCCCAGTTTTCTTTCTATGTTTCTAAGAATCTATGCTTCAAAAATAAAAGCAAGATGTTGAGGTGATGCTAACTCCCAGAACCAAAGGAAAAAAACATGTCCCTCAATTGTGCCAAGTTACCCAAGTCAAAAATGGCCAAAGTGAACGTACCAATTTATTTGTTGAGGTTCTTATCATCTCACTGTCAACAAGGATGCACTAATTTTGCCCTTCGACATATTACTTTGATCGGAATGGTTTAGGATTGTCACTGATCTAAGGCCAGGAGCCTTTTGAGAAAAAGGCCTTACTTAAGACTATAAGCAGTCTACTTGCTTCTTGTAATAATTCGCTACATTTATAAAGTAGAATTTTGTATCTGCATGAAACAGTATGCTCGAATGTTTCTGTGATGTGCATACTCCTGCTCAAAGGAAATAAATAAAAGACAAAACAGTAAAGCTTAGAACAGGAAACACCTACTAGTCATAAATGGCCATTGGGTAGACAGTCACAGACAGCAAGAAATGCAGTACAGTACTAGGAATTCCTAAAAAAACACGAAGTAGAGGTCTAAAACCTGCGCTAAAAATCTCAAGTATCTTTCTAGTTCGTATCATGGGACTGTGGGCAACAGAACCCAGGTAAGGGAGGAGCTGACAACAGTCACTGGTTAACCCATAAAATGCGTCACTGATTCAAGAAGTGTAAGGCCATCATCACAAGCATTTTCTAATGACGGTGGGAAACGCTACCAGTTTTCACACAATGCTTTCCTTTTGAACTTAAAGCCTTTTGATATTTCCATTACTGGCTAGGGAAGGGTATTTTACAGATGACTAAACAGTTGCAAGAATTACATACAGAAGTCATACATACATACCATACACATATACTTAATAGGTGCACAGTGTCTAGAGATGCATTCTTAAAGCCTCAGTGCGCTCTGCTGTCTAAGATACACTAGAAAATATCCTTAATTAAAATATTCACAAAACAAGCTTGCTTTCGTTACGTGCCCCTTATAGAATCTCTATACTAAGGTACCTATGGCCTTAAGAGATTCGATTTGGACTGGTGCTATTACCTTCTAATAAATGGGCACCCAGCCCGGTGGGAGCTACCCCGGCCCCCAGACAAAAGCAGGTCTTACCATTTGTTTTCAGCGCCACAAGCTTCCTGACTTCTCGACACCAGTTGAGCTTCTTCTGGCTTTCCAGGGAGGCCTGGATGTTTCTGTCGATGAGAGCGTTGTGGATGATCTCCCGAAACTGTGGACAAAACTGGCAAGTTCTGAACATTTCCAGCGTGTACCGGTGCATGGATTTTAAATGGTGAATGATTCCATTGGTAGGTTTAAAAATATCTTCTGGAGTTCTCTCTCTTATCTTCACAGCTTTCCGCATATTGCTCAAATACAAAGCCAGAGGAAGGAGTTGCTCAGCCATGGTGCTCTCCAACACCTGAAGAGGAGGGAAAGAAAACCCCATGCCGTTAGCTCGGCTTTGATATGACTCCTATATACCTGCCTGCAGGAAACCCCAGTGTTTGATCTTGTCATTACCCTAAGCGGTAGGCAAAAGATCTTAGTCACCTCTACTCCTAGGATACTAGCTGGCCCCAAAGATGAACTCACATCGGACTGTTTTAAGTTACATCACTTTTAAAGATTAGTCTAAACAAGAGAAGGAAGGCGGGGAGTGGGCAACGAGGAGGAGGGGAATAACCCATGTTTTCAGTAACATTTGTCAGGGAGCCATGCCTGTCTGTCAGCAACAGGTATGGTGCCTCGTAACCGACTGAAAATCCCACTCCATCCTGATGCCGCTCTGGGGCAGCCACTGGATTTTAGGCGCCCTGAATGCCAGTTACAGGCACAATGTAGTCCTGACAAGTCTGGCTCCTTTCCTAAAAGCACCACCGAGCAACCCTTGTTCTTAGGCAAAGTCTTGATTTACCTCTTTCAAGCACACCCTCCCTATACTGGAAAGACAATAAATATTTTGCGAAAAATCCTGCAATTTTATGCTGCCACCTAGGCTGTTGATTGGACTTTTCTCTTTAGTCACCAAAAGAAATATTTATAAAGCGTTTACTTGTAAAATGTATTATAATATACAAAGAGTTAAACCGAATGCTTTATAACCAACAGAAAAGCTTATTCCCAGCAAGATGTTTTGCAATTTTAAGAGCAAACAGTCAGTGGTCTTTCAGAACCTCTCCACTGAACAACATCAGAATAAAAAACAGAATAATGATAACAATAACAATAATAGAATAATAAATTCTACACTTCCAAGAACAGATATTGGAAGTACAGAATTATATTCTATATAGTTACAGAATTAACTGTATTACTTCAACTCAACCGTCAACCAAATTTTATTATCGTCCTCCAGGTACCAACACTCAGATGGATTTTGCACCCTGTCTTCACCCTGAAATCTTCAAGCATAATCGACTGGTGGAAAGAAACAGAAGTCTGGAAGCAGACAAGGAAAGAAGTTTCAGCCAGAGGGACCACTCAGGACAAATGAAAGAGGAGGTGGGCAAACCCCAGCATCTCCAACCCATGCCAACAGCATGGAATGATGGAATGATGTAACGTGGGATCTTTACAGAGCAGAACTTTGTGGAGAGGCAGCTCACATTCACTGGCCCTTAGTAGGGTGCCTTGCCATCCATCCTAATTTCCAAGATGAAGACAAAGACATTTTCAGAGCACAAAGAGAGCCCCTAGGAAGTTTCACTGCATTTGTTAATCCCACTCTTGTGTCATACTCTTTACCGGGGCAAGCCTCTAGCTGAGAAAGAAGTTAAACCAATATAAGAAGGAGAAGAAACCTAGATTACAGAGAAGCCAGTCCTGGTGGGTCTCAGCTCTCTCAAAGCCATTGATAAAATGGTCTAAATTCTCACAGGCTGCTACAAGACTCTGAGGTTGCTTCTGAGGAGTCTTCTGGTGGTGAATTTAGCTCAGGATTCCTTATCTGATAGCTGGATGATGCCTGGAAGAAGTCATTCTCTGGGTCAAATGGTAATCTCTGCTTTGATGTCAGATATTCCTTGCAGGTGGATTTGGGCAAAATCATGGCAGGACCACAGACACAACGAGGGGACAAAAAGATCACACACACATCCCCTTGGTGGCATGCAAATGCCTCTTTCACGATGTCATTCATTTGTCCATCCATCACTCAACAAGCACTGCTTGACCACATACTTCTACTGCCTGACCATCAGCTCGATGCTGAGGCTAAAGATAAAGACAACCTTATTCCCCGGCTTGAAATCACATGACCACCTTAGTCTCCATCTACGGCAACTGCAGGGCTGGTCCTGCTCAGGTAGGTCCCACACCATCCAGGGGCAGGGCTTTGCTGAGAAGCCCGGTCTTCCAACACCCGCCCCTTGCTAATCTCAGAACACCACTCCTGTGGTTGCAGAGTGCCTGCTGCTCTCGCAAGGAAACAGACAGGCAAGAGGAAGATGTGAAACAAGCTAGTTGTACCCTCTTTTTTGCTTTTTTGACTCTTTTTTTATCTTCTTCTTCACCTAAGATCTCTCAGCAAAGTTCTCAAATAGTGAGAGCTGGAACCATAGGCAAGACATGCAAATGTCAACATTTGATAGTCCAGTGTCACCTCACTCATAGGTTCAGCCTAGCACGGCCTGCAGAATTGCCTCCTTAAAAGAAATCAAAACCCACTGCCCAACTGCCTAGGACTTGGACTTCTCCACACTTAAGATTAAAGAATAATCTGACCTGTGATAAAGAATTTCTGAGCTATGATTGTAATGCCCTTATATGCAAAGACATACAATATTACCCGTAACATTTCTTTGTTTGTTACCTCATTGGCTTTTTATCAACAAATATCGACTTTTTAGAAAGTACCCCTCCAAAAATTCAAAAACTGCACAAAGAATTGGAAAAAAAAATAAAGAAGCCCTTTAGACCACTAAGACTGATGAAGTAACTGGCTGTTTAATAATCTGGGACATTAGGGCTGTGGTCCAGAGGACCCTGGAACACTGGTTCTCTCAGAAGGCTGCCCTGAGATACTTGACCAGAGCAGCTTTCCAAGGAAAGAAGATCAGAGGCAGGGAGAACTGAAAACAAAGCGGTCTCAACAAGTTCTGAGCTCCTTCCTTACTTAATACCACGGCTTTCCTGAAAGGCCAGGTGGCAGGATGTGGGACGACCCCGACTGACAAAGACAGACTGACTGGGGGATAGGGACCTGCAGATGCTCTAAACTGGAGCCCCCAAAAGCAGGCCGACCACCCACTGCTACACGCGTACTTCTCTGACACTGCTTAACTCTCAGTGTCTGCAAGCCGTCCCCGGGAAGTTGAGCGGACCTGGCTCCCCGCCCCCTGGGTTTTGCTGCCCCTGAGACATGCCACACCTTCGGGCTGGTGCTACAACAATCTGGAAAGAGGCCACAGCAGTTTGCACGGGCTACGTAGTCGTAAGCATGCAGACCTTGATTCCAAAAAAGACAAGCCAAAGAGCAAAGCACCAATGACCACCCGCGACCAAGCGGCCCCGGGGGCGACTCTCCCCGCAGGCAGCTGCCTTTCAAGTTCTCTGCATTATCTGCAAGAAACAGCTGGCTGGATCCTTGAATCCCGGCTGTCACACCAACATCTGGCCCGGCCCCCTCAACTCTCAGCAGTTCAGAACCTACAACGGGTACAAACGGCCAACAAACTGCCCTCTGGAACCGCTGCAAAACCAAGGCCAGGTCGACGGGGCCAGCCCGCGGGTCGCTGCCAAACTCGCACCCGCAGCCCTTGCCCGGGGGAGACGGCACAGGGACGCGGGGGTTACCTCTTCGGGACACGCGATCCTCTGCAGAAACCCAAGTCCAGGTCAGGACAGGCGTGCGCCGCCGGCTGGGGTCACGGTCGGGGTCGGGGCCAGGTGGAGGAGGCGCCCCATGGACGCCCTGCTCGGGGTTAGTTCGCGGGCCGGGCCGGCCGGGGGTGCGGATCTCTTCTGCCGCCGCCGCTGCCGCCGCAGTTTCCCCGGCGGCCGCTCTTGCCGCTCCGCCCCCGCGGCCCCTAGCTCGTTGCACTTGGCCGCCGCCAAGGCTGCAGACTGCCAGTTCTCTTTTTTCCCTTTCTGTTTTACCGCCCGCGGACAGCCGGGGATTTCCACCCAGGGACTTTCCAGTCACGTGACGCGGGCCGGGCTCCCGGAGCCGGTGGTCTCCTGCCGCTAGGGGGCGCAGGAGACGCGGGAGGCCCGATGCGCTTCGCCCCGCCCCGGCCCCGCCCCGCCCCGCCTCGCCAGACGCCCGAGAAACTCCTGCGCCCCGCCCCGGGGTGTCCCCGCGTGAGTCACCTGGGCATTTCGGAAGCTGGACTCAACGTCACATCCATGTGGAAATCGCAGTGATGGGAACTGGAAATGAAATAGGTTCTTTTTCTCAGCCGTTTTTCTGCAGAAAATCATCAACTGTGGAGAACAAGAAGGGAAATCATAAAGAAAGAAAACCCTAAAAACCACCACAGGCCTCCGCTGGATTTGTAAAGCTTGGACTGCGCACGTGATGAGCTCGTAGGGGAGCGCCCAACTCTGGTCCCCCGGGGGGATTTCGAGAAAAAGATGCAGTCACAGCCCTTGGTCCCCATCCGCAGCATTCGTGCCAGCCCCGGACCCCAGGCTGGTGAGATGCCGTTTCGAAGTGACGTCAGATCTCGTGGCCCTGCGGCCTCGAAATTCGCAGGGGCAAAGCCAGTCTTAGATGAAATTAGGAATCAGAACCACTATCAACCCCGTCCTTCGCTGGATTGATTTCCCATCTCCATTTCTGTGTACCAGGGGCCCCCGGGGGCATCCCATTCAGGTAGCATTTCAGTTGAGAAATCACTTCTAGTCCCTTACTGTCCTTGCCACGTCCCCCTAAGATCTTATTAGGAGTCTTTTTAGAGGTCCTGATGACAGTTCACCCCAAGATGCCAATGGCTGATAATACTTATTACCCTCCCCTCCTCACAGCCCCTTATTAAACAGCATTCTAAGGGCAGTGTCTTCACCTAGAGGGTGTCCTGTAGAAATAGGTGTCAGCCACGTTGGCTATGCAGGAACGTGAGTTGTGGAGAGGGGGCACTAGGTCCTTTTGCTGTCTTGGTCTCCCCCTTGGCTCGGCTCATTTTCTAGAATGACTAGACTAGAACCAGACTGAAGTATTCTGTACCACTGCCCCCCTTGTAGGCTTAGGTAGACTTGTCAGGCCATATTTCTCAAGTTTTGAATTATAAAAATATACTCCCCTCTCCAGTAAGAACCTGCAGAGCCTGGGCTGGAGGCTGCGTGGAGTGTGGCACTTTTCCAGTGGCACTTAGAAGAGAGAGTCAGTAGTGACCAAGGTCCCAGAGCTCGTGCTGGTCATTTGAAACCAATGGCTGGAGTTTCTTCCAACTCCAAACCTCCTGGTATTTGTCGTCCTCTCATTCACAAATGTTTTCAGCTGCCAACACTCAAACAATAGATAGTCAAGCTAGTAATATTATAATGATAACGGTGATGACGATGCTTATCAAGTCCTTACTATATGCCAGGCTGTAGGCTAAGTGTTTGCAATGCATTCTGCCATTGAAATCTCACAACCCCACTCTGCAGATGAAGAAACTGAAGTTTAAGAAGCTTACGCCATTTGCCCAAAGTCTACACAATCAGTGGCAGAGTCGTGACTGGCGCTGGGCCTGCCTTACTCCAAAGCCCACACTGTTAGGTCCTCTCAGAAAATAATTAGTCAGAAAAGATCCTACAAAATTTAAAGTCTCAGGGCCTCTGTTTGTACCCTGGCCACAGCCTCATAAACTTACAGCACTCACTTAACCAGACGTGGACCCTGGGCAGGGGCAGAATATGGTCTTGGGACCCAGACAGGCCTTGGTGTCATCCTCAGGAAAATTTCTGAGCTAGTGGAGATGGTAAAAGATAATGTATGCAAAAGAACATCCTCAATCCTCAGACCACTCTCCCTTTGTGCTCCTTTGGAAACAGAATTTGCCTGCTCTTGTGCCTCACGGTCTGGCTCTGGCCCCTCAACTCTTCCTGTAGCTTCCATTGCCCCTTTTCTGGTTTACATCTGCTCCCCGGTTTCATGAGTTAGGAATGCAATAGCAGGCATAACAAGCCTGAAAGACCACACTCATATCTGCCACTTCTAGTTGTCCTGAGATCGCTGCTATACCATCTTGCCTGCCAGGATTTGTGACAAGGTAATGGCAGTCAGAGGCAGGAGTGGTCTGTAACCCTCAGTTTAGCTCTACCCCCATTTCCATAGTTCTACCACTGGAATGATGGTCTCTGTGAGGAGGCATTCTTAGCCCTGCCCTTCTCTAGTTTTCACTGTTCTTTCTGTCTTCTAAATCAGAGCTCTGGCTGTGCACTTTTCCTTTTCTAATACTTAACACATGGGTGAGACCAATAAGAATTTTCTTGGTAAATCAGAAAGAAAGAGTGGAAGAGGAAGGGAGAGTATAGAAGGAGAAACTCCTTATCAGAAAGGGGATATAAAATTTGCGAAAATCTGTGGAATGAATTGAAACCAGAGAGATATAAAAGCCTTGCAAGGGACTTTAATTTCTGCGATAGACCTTATCAAGATGAACAGAACTCTGCAAAGAGAAAGGAATATTTATAAACATTGTGTGGACACACAGGAGAAAAAAAAAATGTCTCCCTATAAGAGAGAAGAGGAATTCTGGTTATGTGGAGTGTTTTGGTGAGTTCCCAAGTTATGTGTCATTTTTATTGTGGTGCCAACATTCACATGTCGTGAACTTCATACAATGAGCACACATGACCTCTTGGAGTTAGTCCGTGGGACTGTGACTGTGGCCTGTGTGCCTGTACCACATAATGAAAAAGATGTGCATCCCAAGATAGTGGGGTTGGAGTGGAGGGTGGGGGTGGGGAAGGGGGCAGGAGAAACCTGATTAAAGAGAGGCAGATGTGACAATTGGGAAGAAGACCCATATCTGGCTCACCTCAGAACTCAGTCCATGAGTCTTTCTTAAGAAACAGCCACAGTGTATTTCTGAAAGTGTACGGAATTCCATGGCATGGCAATCATGGGTTAAACTAAAATCGAACATTTTGTGTCTGTGGTACAATTGTTCCCCTTTTCCTGGCATTGTTCTCTGTTGAAAAGGGAAATCCATATTAAACGTACTTTGAAATAGCCTTATGTGAGTATGGCAGTTTAGTTATTACAGGGTAGCTTTAAATCCTGCTTCAAATTTTAATAACCCAGGGCTGAGTTTTGAGATTATTGAAGTGTGACGTTTGCACTTTCAAGGCTGTTATCAGGGCTAGTTTTGAGAAGACAGTAGAAGTTCTTTGTGGGCTATAACTCCAAGGAGAACTGGGATAATAATGTCACAGGTTTCATCACCCTATGGATGCCAAATTTTCCTGAAATGCTACTTACCTAGGGACCTCAGATCCTCTATGGGGATCACCTGGGGTGAATGGAGAAACCAAGACCCACTACAGGGAAGGGACTTAACTGAGGTAACCCAGTGAGTCACTAGTAACAGGAACAAAGACCATCCACTAGAAGGGAGGGAGTTGGTTTAGTGCCAAGTACAACCCCTCTTTATCCTACTTGCCTGAAAGCATGGGGTACTGAAATCTGAAACTTGTCAGAAAATTCATTCCCCAATGAATTCTGGTTTAACTTTCTGTCAACACTTGGCTGAAACACTTGGCAAAGTAATTTTATTTTACACTATGAATGTAAATATTCAATTCTTGGTTTCATTTCCATTTCTGTGGAGGCCTCTATTAATGACCCAGTATGAAAGATGGCCGAAAGATCTAAACTGGGTTTTATTAGGAACCAGCTGGTGTGTGGGGTTGGGTTTAATAGTAAGCTGTATGTTAACTGAAATAAATTAGTTCCTGTTATTTGGAATAGTGCAAGCCATTGTGAAAATTTGCCTTTGATGTGCTGCCTTTTTCTTCATTTGTCTCTCAATTCCCTTCGTCCAGTTTGGGGTGCCCATATCCTGCTTCCTTGTCACCCCGGCCTTCTCTCCTCACCTACTCCCCATCAGCATAAAAAAGGATTTAGGCTTTCATTCTCTCCCAGGGGCCTGTTTTCTGGGACTGGCTAATCTAATAAGGTAATTTGTGTCCATTTTCAAACACAGATTGCAACGTGTTACTGTGTTATATTTCTTGAGAAACATTCCTATTGACACCAGAACTTCCCAGAGCTTAAAGGTGGAAATTCCAAGCGCCTTAGCAGGCCGGAGGAGAAGCAGCTGTACTTCCATGATTCTGAGAATCCAGAGCTGCGAGGCATACCCTGGATTTGGCATCAACACGGCGGGTGGGGCAAACAACCTCATCCTAGTAAATGTACCCATGTTCTTTCTTTTACTCACTGACTGCAGCCTACATTTATTGATGTAGTTACATTCCCCCTTCTTCTTCACTGTGTAAAGGAGGAAAGACTTTAGCTCTACACTCCTAGGTTCCATAGCTGGGTCTATGAACTGAAAATAAACTGAAAATAGGCAGATTAACAGGAGAAAAGGTCTACAAATGTATTAATTTTTAATATTATGTTCATGGGGCATCGCAGGAAAAAAGTGTATGTACCTGAGATGAACCAGCCAGACATTTTCTTCTTTCTTACTTATTTTTTTAAAAATTTTATTTATTTATGGCTGTGTTGGGTCTTCCTTGCTGCGCGCGGGCTTTCTCCAGTCACGGAAAGCTGGGGCTATTCTTCGTTGCCACGGCACGTGGGATCTTCCCGGACCAGCGTACGAACCCGCGTCCGCTGCATTGGCAGGAGGATTCTTAACCACCGCACCACCAGGGAAGTCCCCTCTTCCCTCTTATTAGAATGAGT